ATCGAAGAGTTAATCCCACCAATAATGATCTATATTCAGAGTTGTGTTATAGAAAGTGATTTTCCATATACTTAGGGAAACACTGAATTGGCCGAACTTTGAAAGGGGTTTTGGTGCCAATGGGTGGAGCATCTCCTGCTGTCAGAATGATAAAGTTGTAAAAGTTACCACACTGGTTTGCTCATGATAAGTCCGTAACCTGAATGATCTTTTCTTTTCTCTCGTCAGTTTGTCCTGTCAGTGTTGAAATTCACATATCCAACCCTGTTTCAAGGGTGAGTATCTGATGATAAATAGTTTATGTGGATCCTCTTCATGCTTTATCCATTGTCATTACAGGGTGTGTGCAGGCACTTAAAAGGTCAAGCAAGCACATAATGTAAACACTTTCGATGGTCTTAAAGGTCAGATGTTGCTCTTGAGAAGTGCATGTACAGTTCCTAACTTACAAATGTGTAATTAAAAACATGCTAAGAATTTAAACCTTGAAAAATCTTGATTAATGGTCTACCTATTTATACTACCATATAAATGAGATGAAATGCAAACTGCATACCCAAACACCCTGGTGTTTATGTTCACTAACATGACAAAAATGCTTATTTCCAGATGGCAGACATTTATTGGGGCCATCCTGCTCCTACTCTCTGGGAAGCTGGGATGGGTGGAAATGAGCCGCATCACCAGGTACTTAATATGTACTGCTGTAGGAGTCGTACTGGGTCCATTCAGTGGCTGCTTGTTTGATGTTTTAATGTTTTGTTACAGGTCAGCAGCTCTTTCCTGGCTTCCAGGCTCCCTCCTGTTTGTAGGAAACATATATGCTGGTTCTAGATCCTTATCACGCATAGTACGCCATACAACCTACCACCTTTTTAGATGTAGTAACTTTTCAATTGCACCAACTGTATTCTAATCATGTACATTTTTGCTTGAAGGAATCTTTTTTTTCTCTTCCTTCTCCGTCTAGGAAATCCCTTTTTACTTCACTCTTCAGAATTCCTCTCATGTTGTTAGTTACATAATCTTGAAGGTCATCCATAGAGAGGTAAGAGGCTGCACGGCCTGCTCTATGTGAATATGTGCAGTACACTCCCTCCCTTTGCAGTACTCTGCCATCTTATTCACTGGAAGCAAATGGAGGCACCACTGCTTTATGAGTTTGAATGGCCTTAACAGCCACACACTCTTAACTTGTACAAGCTTTAACCATCACTGTGATATGCTGTATCTCAGTCACTAAAATGTGCTTTTCTCTCTCTTTGTCAGAAGGCACAGTGGCTGAAGTTTATCAGGTTAGTGCTTAACCCCTTTTTCCCTTTATTTGAGCAGTAATACAGCAAGTTTGTGTCACAGGTCATTGTATGAAGATGTTTTTCATAGGTCATGTACATGAAGGTTGCAAGAGCTAACTACAAATAATACTGATAAGTACTAATAATAACTACATTTCATTTCGCCCCTGAAAGGAGAATACTTACTTAATAGTAATAAAACTAAAAGTAAATAAATCTGTGAAGCACTTTTCCAAGTCTGGATAAATAAAAGCAAGATTATGTTCAAAAATACGAAGCACAAAGATGAAATTCTGTAAAACTTCAATTAAAAGCCTAGTCTCAATTAGACGTCTGTGGCCTTTTACTGGCCTGGTGTGGCTACACATTTTGACAAATGAACGCAGGTCTCAATTAGAAGCCTGGTCTGGTTTTTATAGAAGTCCTCTGGATGTAGCCCACCGGGTCGCCCTCTTGAGCTAGTTCTGAGCTGCTTAAGGACGAACATACAAATATAAACGTTTAAATGTTTGTCAGTGTAGACATGCTTCACATCTTACATCGGTTAAATTCTCCATAATTCAATTGTTCAGTTTATTTTAAGGTAACTATGAGCATCAAAGTATTATTCATTCAGATTTACCGGTATGTCTCGCTCTCTCTTTGTGTTTGAGGATGGCCTAGATGGGCTGTCTCCTGGAGCTAAATGAATGATTCGTAATCGATATGTTATCCGATAGCCTAATTGTTATACATGTAATATTCATACTGGTTGAAATAAACCATTACCCAAAAGAGTTTTGTGCCAAAGGAATTAAAGGCCCTTCCCAGATAGACACCTGTCTCAGATATAGGCAGGGTGAGTTCGGTGATCGAAGCAAATAAAAGCCAGGCTATTAACTTTACGGTATTCACTTTTACATGAGTACATCTTTAAATATGCTTTTCTCCTTGTAGCTTATGCTTAATGCTGCTTTCAGCCATCAACTTGCCCCTCTTTGATCCTCAGGTAATAATTCATCATCATCACACAGTGGCTTTCATATTTCAGTGTTATCATTTTCTGACATCCTATCAGTTGCTGTTCTTGGGAGGAAGAATACAAGTGTTTTGTGGTCATTTGTCACAACAAATCTACTCTGTTTACATGTTATGCCTATTTTGCAGTTTGACTACAGTGGTTACCTTTGGGCTGTCGGTCATCTGTTCTGTGTTGGTATGTCTAAGAATACAGATGAGAAATGCTACAATGACAACTGTAAAAGCTCAAGAGTTACATGAAGAGAGGAACAGTGGCCCAAGGTTTGAGCCTTGAGGGACACAACAGAAAGAAACATAATAATCAGAAGTGGCTGAGTGTGAGATGAGCCCTAGACCAGTACAATCTGAATTAGAAGGACCAGTGATGTCAAAGGTTGTATTTAAGGTGATAGCCATAAAAATATGGAAAAAAACAGGAGTCATCAGAATCAGTTTTCACCCTGAAAATTACAAGGTCCATTAGATTAGTAGTGTTTATCTTCTCTGATGTACAGTGTCTGTACTGGCTAACAGAAAATGTAAGAATATAATTTCATTTCAGGTGCATACAGGGTGTTTCAAGTTCACTACAAACCCAGTAATTTAAGGTAAGCACAACGAAATAATGTGATAATAGTAGAAAACACCAAAACCTAGCTTGAAAGTGTGTTCCTCATTTGTGCCTCTCTTCTTGTGATATTTTTTTTTATTGTAGTGACCTTGAACAACAGTGCATTAACTACTTTTTCAGGTAAGAATAAATCATTCTCAAAATGACTTGATGCAACATGCAGATGATCTGGTCATGTTTATCGCCTTCCCGGGAGCTCTAGAAGGGGCGTGAGGAGTCAAAGTTTGCAAGACAGTCAGATCCCTTTTTGCTGTTCAGTTGCATACCGCTGAATGCAAATATAGCAAGATAAAGGCTGGAGGAAGAGCCCATCATTAAAGTTGGGGAGCAGCATTAAAGGGACTTTACATGTTTATTTGCAGAAATCGGGAACTACATATAAATAGTAGCTTACTTGCAGACAGTATTTAAGAGTTAGCTTAAATACGTATAAGGTTAAGTTATTCACTTTTGCATCCAGAAAGGCCGTAGTGATACTTGTGAGTTCCATTAAACACCGACATATTAAATGGAATCATCATGTCAATTTGACCACTTCAGAATTCAGTTTTTTTTTTTACATTACGACATTACCTGGTGCAGGTTCTGGTATTATCAGTAACTCGCTTCATCTTTCTCTGTCTCTGCATAACAGTGTACTGCTGCTGGCCATTGCTGCTCACCCAACAGGTATGCAAGCCACTGTGCAGATGTTTAAATTCTTAGGTGGCTAAATGCTGAGATAATGCTGAGAAAAGTTGCAACCCAAAGGATATTTTGTTCCTAGAATTGTATCCAAACATATGTTTTTATTTTGGTAGTATACTTCGTATAACATGGTCTGCTGTGTTGCAACTCTGTCATCCCTTGATGTTTAAAGAATACAATATCTACATTTGTACCTTGCAATCAAATCTTTATCCCTCAGGTGACCTCACTGGTGCCTTGGAGTTCCCGTCCCTTCAGTCCAGCACATTTCACTGTGGTTGCTGTGCCAGGTAAAAGCCTTCAGACCATGGACACTTATTTTGTACATCAATGTTAGTTTTAATGTTAGTTTTCAGTATAACTCACCCTGTGGTTCATTGTCTCTCGTTCGACAGTGCACTGCTGGGGTTTTTGCTTCTGCTGGCCACAGTCAAACTAAAAAGTGGATTTTCCCTCGAGCACTTTGGGGTCTGGATTTTTTTGTCTAAGGTGACCATTTTCAAATTTAGGTTTAATAGTATTTTGGGGGGAATCAGTAGCATCATAATTCACACAATCAATTGAGTGAATTGTAATTAGTAAAATGATTATTTGAAATTGGTCTGGCTGACAGTTTAACAACTTTACTTTCAGATTACTGCCATGTCCCTCTCCCCATTTATTTTCCACATGGACTTTAACATTCCAGCTCTTATTTGGTGAGTGCCACACTTGGCTGTTTTAGACACGGTCATTCTTCTTATCTAGGAGTTTGTCCTCTTTATTTTACACTGGAACTAGACATTACTCAACTTACATTACTTAAACATGAATGATTTTCTTCTGTTTGGTTACAGTGTGGTCGTCAGCCATGTTGCCGAAGCCCTGTTGGTGTATTCTGAAAGAGAATCTCTGTGATGAGAAAACTGCAGCTCTCCAGTTTAACCAACAACTTGCACTTCCTGAAGAGATTCTTTTTTTCTAAAAAAGTGTTTTATTTTTTCACCTTTTTGTATTTTCTTATCAGTGAGCTGATGATCTGCTGATGAAAATAAAATTATCTTTGTGTGCATATTGTGCGTGCAGTGTGCTCTTGGTAATTTAGCAAACCACAGGGACATTTGTGAGCCTAATAAATCACCCCGAAGAACTGCAGCTTTTGATGAGGTAAAGTGGATTTCTTTTTGATGCAGTACATTTTTATTTATCCAAACAAATCCCGAGCATACTCACTATCTACAAAAACAACACAAACCAGTCGAACAGACTGTGCGTACAGACAGCACATTGAAATTACATATGTAAAACTGAGGTAAAGAAAGGAGTAAACACACTTCATAATGTCACAGTATAAAACAGCGTCATTGCACACCCAGTGTAATTTTCACACAGTGATGAGCCTGTTCGTTGTACACTGTGATGTGTTTATTTAAATGGGCCAATCCAAACTGTTCTTCCACTTAGCTCTCCTGTTTTTTCGACTTTGGGGAGAATAAAGCATTGAATGGTTGTCTTCTCCGAGAACGTGCCTGTGGGTTCTTTTCTTCCTTGATATAACCTAGAAGGGAAATCACATCTCAGTGTTTATGATAATGTCGTGACTTCTATTTTGATGTATTTTTTCATGTCATTATGGGATGCTGTAACACAGAAGACACTAAGAGTAACAGTTTATCGATCTCTGGGGAAATGGGATCAAATGTTCTGCTAATGCTTTACCATAACACTTTAAGGGAAGGTTTTACTAAAAAGTAAACATCGTTGAATTACCTCTCTCAATGCATGTTTGAGTTGATGGGAATCCAACTTCCCAGAAATTTTCAGGAGTACAAGGAGGAATATAAAGAAATCTGTGCCTTGAGCACGCAGACAACTTTTTCTGTTTTTCCTCCTCTGGGAGATGAGCGTAATACTGTTTGAAATAAACATCCATTTAAAATAAGACCAGCGTTAAACATGTCAGTGTAACTCGGCCTTATGATGAAAATACTTACAATGTCACACTCCTTACAGGTGGTGCCCTTAAGTTTTCGTCTCTCGTCTTTCTTGCGAACCACGGCCACGTGTGCAAATGTTGGGCATCTAAAAGAGAAAATGTAGATTGTGGGATGTTGACAGGAATCTATTGATGTTAACAGTTGATGAGAAAAAAAACCCCCACCAGGGTTCACCTGATCATCCAAGCACATCTTCTTTAGTAAATAATGCGAGCTGTTAAAGTACTACATCATTTTTTATTTTTTTTTCCCCTCAAGCGGGAACCTCTGGGCCTGAAAAGTGCAGCCAATGCCGAAGTGCCTTAAACCTGCATTCCTTCTAACGGCCAGCAGGGGGCGATTGTATTGCACTTCACACTTGATTTATTACCTCAATAAACAATTTCATAATGACTTTATGATCTCAGTTGTTAGTTTCAAGTCTTCTTCAATACAGCATGAGCAGAGGAAAATGGTGTGGCTATCTTGTGATTGACAAGTCGCTACCAGGGCGACCTGTCAATCAGGTGACTCGTATCCACTGCATTGTGTAAATTTGACCAGCACCATTGAAAAAGCTTATTGCTGTTAATTTTTCAGTACATTTCAAAGGACATTTCTTTTCCTGTTTTTCGCTAGCCAAAATTAGCATCCCCATTAATATCACAGTTAATGTGAACTACGGCTGCACCTTGCTAACCAAGCTAGTTAGCGCCTAACTCATAATTCAAATATGGTCACGTGTAGTCTATGGTCCGGTCATGTGTGGTTCCAAAAAACCGAGACAGCCAGGTCAAAATGTCATTCAGTTTTGCCATTCAAAACGGCAGTCCACAAACCAATGGGTGACATGGTGGCTATATCTACTTTATACAGTCTATGATTTTTCTGCATAAAATAGCCCACAGGTCAGCGCTGATCCCAACAATCAGTCCTTTCTTACCGTGCATTGTGCCCTTTATTTTGGCTGTTTTCAGGAAGATCTTGTTCTAATTTGGGAGATTAAAACAAGGACATGAACACGAGTTAAGAACTGACATCCAATGTCATAAACAGCGATACTGGCAAATTACGTGATGACAAAACACAGTTTCTCTCAGTCTGAAAGCTTACCATCATCCTCCTCTTCTCCTTCTTCGTAATCACCTGCATCATCATCATCACCACCACCACAGGGCTGGCTCTGGCCTAAGCATGAACTGTTGTAAGACTTGTACTCTCCATAAGCTGTTGTGTCAAACATCATATCCAGACTGTCATTTGCCTTCTTGCCTAGACCTTGAAAAGCAAAGCAAAATTCTTGTTAATGTTTTTAACCACAACACATTTTATATATTTTACAAAAAAACACTATCAATTTCTGCAAAGAAGACATGTCAGCTTGTGTAGATAAGCACTTATAGTAAAAGTTGTGGTTTATACTCACCAGACACACTGTCCCGGGCATTTTCTCCCCGACACTGGAGTAAGCTGTGACTGACCCAAGTGCAGTCGGTATCTACCAGTTCTCCAAGACACTGTTCTTCCTTTGGCTAAAAATAAACAGATAAACAGCCTGGTGTAAGAAACTACATCTCCCCAATATATCAAAATAAACAACAGTGACAAGGTATCACTATCACACCAGAACAGAGATTTCTAATTTCCTGACTTTTCATGTAGATTCATGACTGTACCTCGTCACCTCTCCATTCACTTTCATACATGGACAGGGCGAGCGCAGGGTCAATGCTCCACATGGGCTCCACTTTCCCCCCCCTCACAGCTGGGGAGAGCAGAGTCATCGTGGTCACATGAAATTCAACTGCTTAATTATAAAGAAATACTTCAAATTTATAACATTCAATTGGAAAATAAGGTCCGTCCTTTCAAATAATGTGCACTGCAAAGGCTATCAGACCCAACAAACTCACCATCTTCTCCTTCAGGTTGAAGATGGGAGGCATTCAGATCTTGCAGAGGGTTTCCTTTCTTCCTAAAGCCGTCTTTGTTTGCTTCTTTAACATCTGGCTTCTTGAAAGCAGGACTTGCACAGGAAACATCTGGCCTTTGGTTAGACGTCCCATTTTGTGTTGACTGAACCTGTTAAATTGTCACATGGTATTTTAAAACCATACAGAGGAATTATTCTGCTTTTTTGTTAACAGCTTAAATAACACTTCCATAGATATAAGAAGTCTCTAACGAGGAGTGAAGTGTCTAACTTATGGTTGTAAGAGCACTATATCTGGGTCGGAAGTCAGGTCATCCCTGACCACTGCTTTCCCCAACACACACATTCATTCAAGCTTTTTGGACAGATCTCTAACCTGGCTGTCCAACGGCACCTTCTTGAAGCTTTGACTGCCTAAACGTGTGGAGGTTCGTTTGATCAGGTCAGGTTGTGTGTGTCTGCCTTCCCACTGTTTGCCAACCGCTTGCTGGATTCCTTGTCTGTCCTCTTCTTGCACCTCCGGTTCGCGGTCCCCCTTCGCCCGTTTTGCTTTGTTAATGGAGCCGCTCTCCGAAAGCCGTTTGACACGTGAGATAAGTGACGGCGACGTCTCTGTGGTCGAGTCTGGACTGTGGATGGGCATGGATGAAAAGGAGGAGCAGCAAGGCCTTAAGGCAGAGAAAGAAACACAGTGTTATTGGAATGCTCTTTGTTTGGGTGATTGCGCAAGAACAAATCCACACCCTTTTAAGCACGGTGGTTTAGAACGGCAGACTAAAAGCTTTCAACATTCAAAGGAAAAACAATCCCAGTCAGAACTACTGCCGTCCATTTGTGACTTTAAGACAACTCATCAGGGTTTTTCAAATTCTACTCAAAATGGCTGTAAAATTCTTTATATACGTCACTACACACATTCACTACATGTGGAACATGTAAACGCATGTCTCATGACACTGTCATGATAGCAGATAAATATCCCAACTGCTGTCAACCTTACTTTAAACTAACGTCACACTTCCAAGAAGCTTTCGAGCTGCTTTTCTGGCCTGCAGATGTCTGTGGGAAAAAAAATAACATAACAAGGAAAAATTAGACACAACCCAAAGAGCTAAATGAGTTTGAATACATGTGCTAAGATATAAATATTCAGTTCACACCGGGAATTTTCTTCAGTAAAAAAAAAAAATGAATGTCAAAAGATGTGAAAGATTACACTTTGCATCTGCTAAAACTACTGAAGGTGCATGTGGGTTCAATCTTTTGAACCAATTTTGTGTGCAGTCAAATAGAAAAAATGTCAGTGCCCAACACCAGTAGTTAACTAATGTGGAAAGGGTCTCTCTTGAAAAAGGCCTACAAATGGTACATAATCATTGCATTCCTGATGTCTTTACACCTGTATCAAGCCCACCCACCCTGTGAGGCTTGTCAAGAAGTTCAAGGCCGCAGGTTTCTGCTATCGCTTCATCCAGATATAGATTCACATCATCTGAAACGAGACACAGACCCAACAGTTACAGCACCTTTACATGTCTCACAATCACGATCAGCAACTTTGCAGATATGGCAACTGAACATTTTCAGTCTTCTTAAAACTTCAGCAAAGGGATGGATTTCTGTGCAAGAGCCGTTTTCGATTGTACTTCTGAGCTTCAAATCATCAGCCCACTGAGTAGAGTTGGCAGTAACACCAACATTTAATCTGAGGCTACAGGGTGAGTTTACAGCAACTGTGTGAATTAGGCTGATTTGATGGGTGTGTTTGTGTAGATAAATGTGGCCTAGTGCTCATGTAGGATTTCAAGTAACAGACATATTCTAATGGAAGGAAATAAATATGGTGTCCACTTCCTGTTTTGCGTTCCTGTTTTTACATTTCTTCATTCTAAAATAACGATGATATAATAGGAGTGCAGTGGATGAAGTCATACTTGAGACGTGGGGTGTGTCCAGTTCACATGTGTTGGGTACAAGTACTTCTGCTCTTCCAGGATTCTTTGTAGCGTCAACAAGCTCCTTATTCAGTTCTTAAAAAAACATGTTAGAGTGCCTTCAGACAGGTGATTCAGGTAACAGAAAGGTGCATTACAAAGTCTGACAGTTACTTTTAAAGCAGACTGACCGTTGAAGAGTGACTTGTTAGACTGTGGTAGAGGCATCTCTGCATAGCGAACGTGCTTCATTTTGTCCATATGTTTACGTTTCCTCAGTTTGTTTGCCACAGGCAGCGAGCTTGGCAGGACTGGTGAGTCTGGGATGATGCCTTCTTCCGTTTCGGGGGAGGAGGCCTGCCGGGGCTGTGAGCTGATTTAAAAACACCACCTGCGCTTTTTAACTGGGAACTGAAACTTTAATGTAAATGCTTACTCCTATGCACAACACCACAGCTTAAAGGCTCACTAAACTTGGAGCTATGTATCAGTACTCCCATAGAGATGCACAGAGAAACCTGACCTTAAGTCAGTGAAGAAGTGAAACCACTGCGGTGCATAGACCTACAGTATTTGTAGAAGCAGCTATAACAGAAAAACTTACCACAGAAAATGTATCTTTCATGAATTTGATCATTTCCACAATGTCAAATACATGAAAACATGTTAACATAATATGACAAACACACTGAGGAGCTTACCAAGACATTTTTAACTTTTGAAGTTCAGCATGTAGTTTTCTGTTTTCATCCTCGAGGCTGTTTCTTTCATTCTCTGGAGAACAAATGACACACAACAGTGTGTCACACAGGCTACATCACAATTGTTAACATGCTATTCAACATGCCAGTAGCTATATCTTGTGGTTTACTGGTACTGCCAATATAGACAAATAATAAATAAAATAGGCTTCTCTATATTTAAATTAGACTAAGAGTCTACAGCTATAGGCTCTATAGGCTCTTCTCATTTCTCTATTTTGTGCCTCCTTGTCTCCTCTCTCTTCCTGCCTGTGACCTGGAAATCGATCTCAGAGCGCCATCTTGAAGGACGCCTTCCTAAAATGTATCTCGAGCAGAAAGGAGGCTTGCTGGAGAAGCTATGAGCGAGGATGCACAGGTGTTTCCTTTGCGGAAGTCTTTTTGGCACCCGTACCAATGCACATTTATCGTTGAATGTAGGCTACACCTAATTCATCTGCTATAATAGTCGTGTTTGTGTGTGTGTGTGTGTTTGTGTGTGTGTGTGTATTAGAGATGTGTCAATTTCTCGATTCTAAGATACACTGCAATGCACCAACAGAACATATACAGGAGTTTGCAGCTTACACAAAATTGTAGCCTACTGACGTTGATTGTTGATTTCTGGCCCCGGCTGGACAATAAAATTGTAAAGTTATGTTGTCACAACATCGCTTGCATTGAATTGTGGGCAACATTAGGCTAACGTTACTTTTATATGTTGGGAGATAGAGTGGAGGCAGGCAGAGCACAGTAGCGAGTGGTAAAAAGTATTAGTACCCTTAGAACACAGTAGAGGTGCTCTGATCAGGATTTTCTGGGCCGATCACCGATTGCTGAAAGCAGTAAGGGCCGATATCGATCATCGATCCCTGTGACTATTTGAAGCCTTTATTTATCATGTAGCATTATACAGTATATTTATTTTAATTATTATTTATATTTAATTAGTCCTAAAAATTATTTATTAAGTATTAAACTTAACAGATGATAAAGTATCATGAAATGACAACTGTTTATTTTATTGCAAGAAAACATGGGCAAAAGAATTCCACTCCCTCGGTCTTAGAGACTTAAACCATAGCAGCCTGGTTACTGCAAACATCTTAAAGCTTAACAAATATAGCTTTCCTGTAGAATAAACTACAAAAACAGAACAAACAGCATGTTTATAAATTTACTTCAACTATAAAAACTGCAACAAAAAAGTCTGTAGCCAAAATATTTAGGAGATAAAGGAGCACAGACATCATGAGTCGATGATAAACTCTGAAGTCGCCGCTTTTTGTTCTGGAAAGCTCAGGCAGGTTCTGTGGGCTTTAGGGGGGAGAGAGGAGCAGAGAGAGGAGGCTACAGAGAGGAGTCATTACTGTCATCAATGACATTTGAAAATAAGGGGCATTTAAATAAATAAAAGTACAATGTTAATTCCATATTATACTGTTATATTTTTAATATATAACAGTATAATATATTATATTTATTCGTATATATTGTTAATATTACTTATAGTTACAATATTCATTATCATTTCATATGGTTTACAGACTATAGGCCTTATATCATTTCAGTGGGTTGTTTTTATTTAATCCTTGTGCAAGAAGCACAGTCCACATCCTTTACATAGGCCTACTGCCACCGGCTTTACCAGAGAAGAGAGTAGCAAATTCTTAAATACGGCCAGCAGGTTTTTATTTGATTTTATAATGGTTAATTATTACCATTTATTTTGCCTGTTTTTTTACCATTGCATAAATTAAATAGTCAAAATGTGCTTTTACTCAGTGTTTCCCACAGGATTTGGATGGGTCCGAGGCCCGAGAGGGACCGGTAAAGTAAATTACATGTGTCCATTTACTTTTAATGGACACATGTAATATGTTTCATACTTTCTATGAATATAATCCAATTAATCTTATTTCCATACTATTTAGATACCTTATTTTGAAGCGGGCCTTGTCACATGTGTATCCTCCTGCTAAATTCATCAAGTCTGACCCAATTTGATAAATAATGTTGTATGTGGTTCTCATATCGTGTAACATGAAGACTTCACAGCCTCTCTTCGGGTAGGACTTTCATACTGCTACACTTTGTAAAGAGAGAAACTGACAGGATAAAGTCGCTAACCTGCCTGAAGGATGAGTCTCTCTCTGCGTGATGCGCTGTGGGTCTAGACAATTAAACTCTGGTAGCGGGTGGCGTGTGTGAGATGAGCACAACTGCGACAGTTTCACATGATGCTCCTGCTTGTTGCTCCGCTTGTCCGATTGCTAAATGGTTAACTGGGCGCATCAATCGCTTCCTGTCTGAAAAGGACTTTGGTGCTCTGAAAACTGCTCAGACCGCTTAGTGAAACCATTTTAGCTGCTGTTGAAAATTTGTCTGGCGAGTATTGCATCATCTGGTCAGCCTTTTTAGAGACCACCGATCCAACTCGTTAAAGCCATTATCGGCCGATTATGATCTGTGACTGATCGATCGGAGCACCCTTAGAAAGTGGACATCTGGGCACACATTTTGGATTTTGTGAGATTACTGGGAAGCACAAACTAAAGACGCCGCACACTGCGGTCAAAATCTGCCTCACAAAAATGTAATACTTTTGAGGAACCACGTTAGCCGTTGTATCCCTGAGCTAACGTGTGCAACCATAAAGAAAACAGCAAACGCAGCTAATCAGCCAAGAAATACGTAGGGGCTGTCAACCTTGCTGTCTCAGAGCGTTTTATGTACTGAGGTGGGTCACAGATAGTGGTATTGAAAAAGATGCAACTTTTTATAGTATAGGCTGATTTTTTAAAAACACTTCCTAAAAAAAAACAGATGAAGTATATCTGTTGAGATATTTCAGTCTGGATCAAAGTCATGCAAGCCCTACCTAATAGGCTACATGTTAAAAAATAAAAGGTCAGTTAAGGGACTAATGAACATTTTACTAAAATAGGATGACTTCATACATGTTTTTTGTTTTACATCCAGCTTTACAATGTGTGTCACATTAAACAACACACTATAGATTTGAAAGATCAATGTTACCGCAAAAGCCTAATCTTGTGGTTCACTTATTCTCAAAGTGCTTCAAGTATCTGGACAAAGTGTATAAGATAAACATAAATGCATTCTCTCTATTTTTCAACACCACTCTGTCTGTCAGTGGAATAACGACATCAATGAGTAAACTCACTCAGTTTGGCAATCAGGCACAAATTCTGATCCTGGTTGTTTTTCAGGTTCTCCCTTAAGATGGTACATCGATCACACTCTCCTGCACGGAGCCTGGAAACAGTGAATATAGTTTCTGGTCTTTGTAGAGCATACAGTTCTTTCAACAATGATAACCTGTTGTGGAGGCAGTTACCTTTCCTCCAGGAGACTGATAGCATCCTGCAGGGTTTTGTTTTGCTCCTTCAGCTGCTGGTTGCGACTGTGAAACACCTCAAGTCTTTGAGCATCCCTGTAGAAAACAATTGCAATGACAGGTCACTACATTTATATATTCACAAATAATTTTCTAAAGCTAGGGTCAGAAATACTCATGTTGATGTATCCGAACATGACAAACACTCGATGCCAAACAGTCGATCACTTAACAAATCTGAGGTAGAACATTCAAAACAATTATGATAAATAAATATGCATGAGTAAGATTAAGTAAAATATTTTTCTGTCCTTTTTCCATAAAAAAACAAATATCTTAATAAAAAAATCACTAATTCATTCGTGAATGAATTCAAAGATTTTTTGTTTTTTTTTACATTTATTGAACATTTGTTATATTGTTATTGAGATTGAAAATTACGTTGCGATAATTACCACTATTGTTTTATTGCCCAGCCCTAAAACGCAGTATACTCACAAACAGCGCTCCTTCTTCAACTTGCTCACTTTTGCCTCCAGTTCTAAAAACAGCAACAAATGCAATGTTGAAGAGTGTGAAACAAAGGGAGGGGACTCAAATAGATGTCATTTTAGTATCCGACTTCAGTATGACCTACATACAGAACATCATGGGTCAGTTAGTTACCTTGAAGTGTGTTCTGGTGGCACTCTCCCAGCTGCCTCCATAAATCTTCAAAGAGGTCAGCTGGTTTGGGGGTTCTGCTGCTCTGTCCTGGGCTGCTCATCCTCCACTCACTGCAAAAACCCAGCCAGCTCTCCTACTACCAGCCAACACTACCTGGGGGGGAAAGAAACATGTTTATCACATATGTCTGTACTAATGTATCATTCAATTAACGCAAGTTGATGTGTAAATGTAAAATAATAACTATTATGCTAACTTAACGTTACGGGCTCAGCCTTATTTCAGTCCAGTTAATCCAGCTACAGCAACTATAAATAATGAAAATCTTCCTTCCCCTTATAGTTTATATTTGCTTGGCTATGAAACTTTTTCATTTCAGTTTAACGTTCATCTGTCGTCAGCACAAGTTTGGTCCTGTCATGTATTATAACCCAAAGCGATGTATTTAACTTACAGATAACGTTACATTTGAAAAGTAGGAAAACTCACAGCTAACGCTAACTAGCCAAACGTCCACCCGGAGGCTCGCTACACACTTTCGGAATAAACACCTCTTACACCAACGAGTCCAGGAAAGACGCAGAGGTTTATGTGAGGAATGAAGTAGTTAGGCTGACATGTTAATGGAGTAAAGTACTTCCATGTTGACAACTCCACAACAACTAAATCCAAATTCGCGCGCCGAACTGCCTGCTGGGAGGTTTCTTCTTCTTCTTCTTCTTCTTCTTCTTCTTCTTCTTCGTCTGCCAGTCTACAATCTCCGACGCCCTCTCCTGTTCAAACCGTAAACTGTATGGAGGTTTTTATACAGTATCCGGTTAGTGGTTCAAACCCAGCCACAGTTTGAATAGTTAAGCCGACCAAAGCCTGCATGGACGGTTCCATGTAGGCTTCCCCTCCTTCACCCCCTAATACAGCGATGGATGAAAACATGGAAAGGTGGCCTCCTCAAGATAAAGTAATGAGTGAATTAGGAAACATATCTGTTAGGATGGATCTTATTGATACATATGACATTGTCCTAGACACATAAACCAAAGAATAGATACTTGGAGTAATAAGGATAGAGACTTCTGGTTGATCTCAGATATAGAAGACAAGGTGGACTTATATAGAACCCTCTATTTTTACAGATCAAAAGGCTATTGTGATTAAAGTAAATATGACATCGATTAGAGGTAACTTTAACAAGGACTATTGGAAATTAAATAAAACACTATTAGAAAACAATGAATTTAAAAATGAAGGGAAGCAAATTTATTGAACAAGTTAGGAAAATGCTGGGAATTAATGAAATATGAATTACAATACAACTTGAATTGGACAAAATATATGAAGAAAAGGCCAGAGGTGCCTTTGTCAGATCCCAAAGAAAGTGGCCAGAACAAGGTGAAAAATGCACTAAATACTTTTTTAATCTAGAAAAGAGAAACTATGAACAATCTTCACTTTGTAAACTTAGAAGTAATAATATAGAATGTGAAAATGAAACAACATGTAGCCAATTTCTATCAGACGTTATATGCTACCCATTCTGAAAATGAAGGCAATATAAGCTTTATGGGTATTGATGATGTTTTAAATCAGTCTATGACCAGAAAATTAGCTTAACAGAGATACAAAAATGTATTGACTCTCTCAAAGAAAATAAATCTCCTGGGAATGATGGGTTGATAGGCGAATTCAATAGTCTTTATTAAGACCGTAGCCCCATTTTTAGTGTCTTTACTTGAAGAAGTCATAGAAAAAGGAGAGTTACCAACAACTTCTTATCAAATTGATCCCCAAATCAAAAAAAGATAAATTAAGTATTGACAATTGGAGGCCAATTAGTCTGTTAAATAATGATGCCAAGATATTTGCAAAAAGATTAAAATTAGGATTGGATAATATTATCGATGAAGAACAATCTGGATTCATGCCTGGTAGGAATATATGCAATATATATATATGGATTGTAAATAGTAATGTATAGCACATGGCACGACCCCTAGATTTGAAATTTGTCGTTGGATAAGACAAGGTTGTCTCCTTAGCCCCCTTTCTGTTCCTTCTTGTCACACACATTATGGCTGTACACATTAAAAGAGGGCAGTTTCAAGGTAAACTGAAATTTAAATGATCTCAACTGGCGGATGATACAACTATTTTTCTGTCTAATAAAGAGGAAGTGATCAAAGCAATTGGATGTGTTGAGGATTTTAAGAATGTGACCAATCAGAAGTTGGCGTTGTCCCTGTGAAGAACACAGTTACATACCTGGGTGTAGTCATAGATAAGAATGAGAAACTCCGTAGTAACCTAAACTTCAGCCCTATAACTGAGCAAATAAAAAGAAGGTTCAACATGTGGTTGATGAGGGATCTTTCACTGTATGGTAGAGTTCTACTAAAGCTGAGGGAATATCCAGATCTGTCTATGTATCCTTATCACTGGATATGCACAAAAAAATTTGATACAATCCTATTTAATTTCATACAGAGGAATAAATGTCTTTAATTATTTAAAGAAAGATATCCAATGTGACACAAAAAGAGATGGAGGTCTGGAGGTCTTAAGGTTTGAAACATTAAACAATACTTCAAAGTTAAATGGCTAACTAAGTTAATTAAAGAAAAAGATAATATTTGGAATACCTTCCCTTTGTATTAAAATGTGACTGTAAAATCGATAAATTACCTGTAAAGTGACCAAATTTTCATAAACAAGCTCTGCTGACCTGGAAGTTAGCATAGTTTTCCACCAACTAATTTCTACATTTGAAACTAGAATAGGCATTTCCTTAAGAAAATGCGTGTGAGAGCTGCCAGCTGTTTTTTGCGATTGCTACCGCTGTCGGTGCAATGTGCGGCTCCATCAGCTAAGAGACTCAATGATGTGCTGCACACTTGTTCAGCAAAAATATGCATTATAAGTTTGCCCCCCTTTTCGTTAACATGCTGTGAGCAGGGTTTTATCCATCAATCTCTGGATCCGGAGCAAGAGCAAGACCTCAACCACCGGATTACTCAGATACATTGTGAAGGGAAGGCTTTCAAGTTTCTTTGTCAATCATGTCTTATTCTGACAAAAAAAATGGCTCCTAAGCACCAATAGAAAGCATGTTTTGCTTATAAACATATTTTCTGTGATGGCTACTCCACTGTTGAAGAATAAACTAAATGAACAGCCAAAGAATTGTGCTGTGAAAGACTTAATATCATGTTAACAATGATTGCATTTAGAAAGACTAACAACATAGAATTTTGAAAGTAACCACTGAAAGTGAGTAAGGACTCATCCATTCATTTTTAAATGCATGCAAATATTAATATAAAATCAACCATTACAGACTAAACATTCTTTTAGCAAACACCAAATACAACTTTGAAAGATCAACATCTTTTCTGCAACTTCCAGCTGAAAGTTGAGTCTCTCGCTGCATATATGCCAGAGCACTAAGCTCTTAAAGTTGGAAGAGTGGAGTCCCTGCTCCCATAGGAACCTATTCATTTTAAAATGCATAAAATAAAAAATATTAATATAAAATCAACCATTACAGATATCAACAACACAGCACCCATCTCATGAAGAAGATGTACAATTTGAAGTTGGAACCAAGTTTGTAGGCCAAAAGGTACCGGACTAGCTAGATGCCAAACAACGGCGGAATAAATAATAATAATAATAAAGAGCGAAGAGAACAAAAGTGTGAGAGCTGCAGCGTTTGAGAGATTTAGAATAAATGTTGAATATTCTTGCACTTTCTGTCAATTACATGAAGAATCCATTTGTCATTTGTTTTATCAATGTAGCCTACTGTAGTTTGGTTGGATGTTGAACTTTATATAAAAAGGAAAACTGGACAAACATCTTCAGGAAAAAGACATTCTTATATGTTTTGAAAGAAATGAGAAGGGAAAAGATGTAATTTTTTTGTATATTTAGTATTATTATTGGGAAAATTCCACATCCACAAGAAAAACTGGACTGACTCCTAACCACACTTTGGACACTTTCTCCAAGAACTGCATCAGTATGGCACCACGATTAAAAACATTAAGAACAAGAAGGCAATCAAGACTAATTATGTTTTTGACAAATTTCCTTTGGACAGTGGGTATGTATTTTGAATCCACTCTACTCTTTTTATTTATTTTGCTATGTCACTTCTTTTGCTTTTATTTATGAATTTTACTCTTTTTATACATGTAACCCTGATTGGAATTTTCACAATTTCAGAAATCTGATTTTCAGAATCTGAATTTCAGAATTTTTTTGTTAATAAATATCTGGAGAAAAAAATAAACTTTTTGTTGACGCAGTTGTGCAGTAATCGGAATTTTGGTGTTTCTGCGTTTGCTTACGTCATTTAAACACCGTTATGCTGTGCGATCATGCGCAGTGTACGCTGGTGCCGACAGCAAGTAGCCCTGTAGTGGTATTTTATTGGTTCAAAACTGGCTTCACTGCGCTCCATTCAAATCTGCGGGGTGGCTTCGTCCAACAAGCAGGAAAATGCCATCTTGCAGTGGAAAAAGCCTGGAAGATCCTTGTTACTAGACACAAGATGCCTTTGAGTGAACATACTCATACATTAAGTCAAAAAGTCAGACAAAAAAAGTCTTTTCTAACTTGTATTTTCCGTCATGTCTGGCAAATACAGTACACAGATGCAAAAACATGGATATCATAATGGGGGGAAATTGTTCATCTCAACTGTGTGATTTTATTGCCTTAGAATGACTTGTGAGAGTAACAATAAAAACACCAAATGTACTTAAGCTGCAATTAGCAATGGGGGAAACAACAGACTCTATTGTATGAAAGGAACACATTATGGTCTCTGAATTTTGATAATGTTGGACAAAATGTTTTGTAAAATGTTGTTTTTCTGCGAGAAACACCGTATGCAGAAATTAAACAACATATATCCATATATAAAGCCTAATACCCAAGCAGAGCTATGCCTTATGTATTGTGAAATAGATTCATAGATGATATAACGAGCTTTGCTTTATTTGCCGGCACTACATTAATTTCATCAGCAGATGTCAGTCATGTACACTGTGTTACTTGAAACCTCTAGTTCTGAATCCCTTTTCAGAAATCCTTTTTTTTCCTTTTTTTTTTTTAACCATATAGAAAGTCATAGATGGGAAGTCAGTATCATTTAGGCTACTGTAGGCTATCAGAAAAAAGGTTGGTCCTGGTGTAAAAGCACCTGTTTTCAGCTTGAGAATAACTTCCAATCCTGTGTTGTGATTTTTAAGTGCTGTGGAAGATTTTGCTAACTGGATATAGCTGTTTGATCACAAGCCTCTGTGGACAATCCTATGAAGGCAAAACAAGTGTTAAACACACAGATTTAAAACTTCACAATATTAAATTAAATTGTTAAACCTTAGTTAGCCTACATTCACACTGTGCATACATGATACATAGTAGGCTATCGGTTGGTAATATTTTGCACTAGTGCAGTTAATATACCAAGTTCAGTTCTCTTCCTGTAAGATAAACCACTCCTTTTTATTCTTCAAAACGATAGAGAGTTTTGTGTCTTTCTCAGGGGAATGTCCCATGTTGAAACGTTTCCTGCTCCAAAGAAAGCTAATGCGGGAAGAGCAGTGCAGAGAAGTGCAAACTGTAGCTGCAACACAGAGTTGCTATTCAAGTAGGCCTCTATATAAACTGCAGGGATTTATAACCCAGGCAAACG